CACTAATAAGGGTATATATCATATGACTTACGTCATTGTTTCAATCTCTGCTGCTATTGTTCCGCTATCCTCTGTCCGGTATCATAGTTTCTCATACGATGTGAATACTCTTCTTTCAATTATTCGGTCTGAATCAAAACTAATCAAAGAGGATCCGATTGTAGCCTCTACTATATTTGTCAGCACATGTTAAAAATATTTAGGATTCAATCTAGACCGGCCATTTATCATTTGTGCTAGTGTTCCACAATCCCATGAGTCCCTTTCCGGTATTATAGTTTCACATAATGTGGCTACTCTTGTTTCAGGTATTCGATTGATGATCCGATTGTAGCCTGTGCTATATAGTCCTTAATAAAAAATCCTAAATTAGTATGCAGAAAAAAAGAAACGCATTACATAATGTCCAGAGCAATCAGGAAACCCCCAACTAGGGCTTTGGAGATTATATTGTGTACTGGGAAAGTGCCCGCTACTTCGTTTGCGGAAAGAGAGTACAAAACAAATAAATAATTTTCTATATGGAAATCGTGAATTCTTTCCGAATCTCTTTCTTATTTCCACTATACAGATTTCGAACAAATATAACAAAATGCAAATGGTTCTAAATTTAGTATCACTTAGTACCTACAAGTACAAATTTCCTAAACTACGTCAATCCTACAATTCACAGTCATTTTATTTATATTCACAATTTCAAGATTCCAGCTCTATCTGTACACCTATATCCAGCTTTTAGTACTTAATGTATTCATAACTACTACTTTCCAAAACCACTTCAATCATACACTCCAAAAGTAATTGTTATTCCAAAATTCAGGAGCCCAGCTCTGTCCGTTCACACAATTATAAATTGTGCCAAATTTAGTACCGTTTATTTCACATAAGTACGAATTTTAACCCTACGGTCAACATCCAAAAAAGTATACGTAGATCAATAACCGTGGTAAATTTGTACCCAACCAAAGATAGCTCTGTAACTCATTAAAAAATTGGACTATCGTGAGGTTTTTTGTTTTAACTTAGTCTTTACGGATCTGATCTATTGTGAGGTTTTTTGTTTTAAATTAGTCTATACGGATCTGATCTAGATGTAGGAACTCAAAATTATATATACATTAAAATAATGTATATTTAAATCCATGCTTAAATGATAATCTATTTAAATGGGTTAAGCTTTTTTAGTTATTTTTTTTTTATTAGGATATTATTTAGGTGTTCCTCAACCCCTCTGCAAATTTTTGTGGCCCTAGACAACATGGGCCATCAGGGCGACTCGTGGAAATCAGAAACTACCTTGGTTTTCCTTTGGTATACAGCATGGATTTAAATATATATTATTTTAATGTATGTATAATTTTGAGTTCCTACATCTAGATCACTTTCGCATAGACTAATTTAAAACAAAAAACCTCACGATAGTCCAATTTTTTAATGAGTTACAGAGCTATCTTTGGATGGGTACAAATGTACCACGGTTATTGATCTGCGTAGGCAATAACTTTAAAAAATTGTAAAAATTATATATATGGAAAATATTTATAATTTTTTTCTTCGATTATGTGTGAAAATACCTCAAGAATGATTCCTCAAAATTCGATCCAAATATCTCCATTATTAAAAGTTTTACAGCATTTTTATTCGAAAAAAGTTACAAATGTACCCGGTTATTGACCGCAGGGTTAAAAACTACCCCCAATATCTCAGTTCTACCTTCCAACAGTAATGATTATTCCAAATTTTTTATTCAAATTCGTTATTCAAATCTAAATTGTTCGGAATTTAGTCCATTTAGTACTATTCGTACACATAAATTCGAATTTCCAAACACTTATTTGTTATACCATTCACCACACTGTCGTACTGGGTATTATGTCTTTGTGCATATGTTAGTAACAGGCAAATCGAATAGAGATAGACCCATGGCTCCTTTAGAGAATATGCATAGAATCACTTTCTGAGCCTATATATGCATGTCGTCAGTCCGTCTGTTGATGTTAAATTGTAAACAATGTACAGGTCGCATTTATAATCCGATTTGGATGACATTTGGTTCAGCTCATTTATTTCGCCCAAGGACAAACCCTATTGAAATTAGTAAACATCGGTTCAGATTTAGATATAGCTCCCATATATATTTTCGTTCGATTTAATGTAAATGGTGCTCCAATGTCCCTATATATCTTTCGATTTGCACGAAATTTGGCACAACGTACTGAAATTAACCAAGAATGATGTGTGCCAAGTTTCGTGAAAATCGGTTCAGATTTAGATATAGCTCCCATATATCTTTTCGTCCGATTTAAGGTAAATGATACACTAACGTCCCTAAATATTTTTCAATTTGCAAGAAATGTGGCACAGCGTACTGACTTAAGCCTAGAATGATGTGTGCTAAGTTTTATGAAAATCGGTTCAGATTTAGATATAGCCCCCATATATATTTTCGTACTATTTTATGTAAATGGTGCAGCAATGTCCCTATATATCATTCGATTTTCACGAAATTTGGCATAGCGTACTGAATTGAGTCTAGAATTATGTGTTCAAAGTTACGTGAAAATCGGTTCAGATTTAGATATAGCTCCCATATATATTTTCGTCCGATTTTATGTAAATGGTGCACCGAAGTCCATGCATATCTTTCGATTTGCACGAAAATTTGGCATAGCGTAGAATGATGTGCGATAAGATTCGTGAAAATCTTTCTAGATTTAGATATAGCTCTCATATATACTTCGTCCGTGAAAAACGGTTAAATGAAATGAAATTTAGCATAGCTTCCAGAAAAGTATAAAAATCACATATTAAAGTTCGTTTAATTTCATGTCAATGTTCTTTCGAAAAAGCGGAGTCTGTTAGGAGACATATGTAGAATATACCCAAACTGGTGTAAGGTATTATATAGTCGGCCCAGTCCGACTTTACTACTTTCCTTACTGGTTATATCTGTTAAATAAGTACTGAGATATAGAGCTCTAAAAAAGTGCCGAATGGTCCACAAGAAGGACAGCACCATCTGTATAAAAGAAATTGATATTCAAGATAATTTGAAGCGGCCCACTATGGGCCACAGATCTAATTATTTGGCCATATTAGAGCAGTGGGTTTATGAAATAAATACATATCACATATACAGGTTTCAGGGACGATCATTCCAATTATTTCCACCTTCATTATAATCACCAGTTGTTTAATTGACCGTCATTTCAAATATAAATTATGTTCACAAAAATATGAAATTTCGACTTTGACATCATGTCATTTGAAAAACGTGACATCATGTCATTTGAAAAACGTGAGCAAAATATTTTCATCTCTACCTGAAATGGACATCCTGACCCATAGTGCGGTCGTCGCAGCATTAAGTTTTAAAGCAATGAACGAGTAGGTAGTCACTGGCTCGACTAGAAATCCTTCATATATATTTTTTGAGAACTTTGAACTCTATTTTCTCTCACGACAAAGGCTTTTCTATGCCTAATAGTCGGCACATACATACAAATGTAAATCCTTTATTTCAAAAAAAGGATTTTGTATCAATTTTCAATTAATTTTTATACCTATTAGAGGATATATTTCTAATATGTCTGCCAATTTTATAAACAGTCCTCCTATAATTGGAATTAGTTGAATATGTTACCTTAAAAGGATATTCTATTCATGTACCCCATCCCCCTTGTAATCAAAACATACACATTGTATTTCATCATCATTTAAACTATATTAAACATTTATTGAAATGAGGAAAGTTGTAAAACCCTTCTACCAAACTTTTTTTAAAAAAAATATTTTATGACAAATATAAAAACAACATTTAAAAAAATATTTATGTTACATATTTTTTTATATTCCCCCTAACACCAATACCCGTTTTCGTTTCACATAAAATCGTAAATACGACTAAACATAAAATGAGATTTTAATGGATTGATATGTTTAAGGCGCATATTCTTCATACCAGGTAGCGGTATCATAAAATGTCAATGATTCAATAGATTGAATAAAGAAATAAATACATAAATATAAAATAAAAATAAAAAATGTATATATCAATAAACTTTGAAATTGGACAATTCCATTTCCGTCCCATACCCCGCCCAAAAATGTCGAGACAACTTTATTACATTGGACAATGCCTGTCTAGATATTAATGACATTTCATGAACTTTAATAAATTTTATTGTTGTTTTTGAAGTCATGGAGGTTATTTGTTTTGTACTCACTTTCAATGTGTATCAATATTAGTCAAATTGAAATGCTAAAAAAGATACAAACACACACAAATCATTTCCTTCAGATTTTTTGTTTTTCCATTATGGGAATAAAAGCCACAAATTGTACTTGGACACCACATAAACCACAAAAGAATGAAAAACAACAACAAAAAAACTTCCACTACAAGTGGCGGTTTCCATGATGGATGGAGGCATAAATAATCAATGGTGTTGGATAGTGACCTCCCAAAAATGAAAGTTTTAAAGTGTCTATGAAAATATTTGGTAAAGATAATTTTCTTAAAATCATATCTGGGGGCCATTTAAAATGCGATTATTGTGTGAAAAGCTAAAGAAGAGCGCTTCAGTTTCAGGATGTTGGAAAAATTTTCACCTACATACATCAATGACATCAAAACTCCCTCCGTCGTTCCCCAAAAAAATAAAATTTTATTTTTCTAAAGACAATTTTTGAAAGCCTTATCCGTAAACCATTTAAATACACTCCTTGTGGTTTAGAGGCCATTAGATTTTCCATTTTTTTTTTCATTTCCTTATTGTCCCCAGCAATCGGCAAACATGATTAAATATTGAAAAACAAAACCATTAAAAATTTGTGGTTACCTTCGAAAGGTTATTTTTTCGTTTTCTTCTACGAAGGTAAGTGGTTTTTGTTCTCCAATCGCCCCAAACCATTTATGTACCTCTTATTCTACCCCACCCACATCTCCTTTTAACAAAATTAAATTTAAAAAAAATGTATATCTTTTTTAGTTTACTTACTCTCTGTACTCCATTCGGGTTCACAATTCTGCCACGGCAACTTGGTGCGAAACGATGCAAACATATAGAATATAGTCCAGGCAATAATTAGATTATAGTACAACATAACAATGGCCGATACAATAATCATGCCCGTACCCAAACCACAAAGCAGCGGGCAAAACCGTTGATAGATAGCCACCGGTCCCAGGGCGGCATATTGACCGAATGACAATTCCATGAACATGAGCGGAAGGCCGGCAATAATTAACATAATGGTGAAGGGTATAAGAAAGGCGCCTGGAAGAAGAAAAAAAAGAGAAAAATGAGAGAATACAAATAATGAATGATTAGAAGACATGAAAATCACATAATAATCAAAAATTTTTTTTTATAAATTAAAATTATCAACGGTCACTGGAAATTATAAAGAAAAATGCGTTATTTTTTGCCCAAAAGGAGTTATCAATCAAAGAGGCAGCTAAAAAATGTCCTATCAATCATTCCAATGATTCATGGTCTATTTTTTTAATATTCAGAGCTCATATGTTTTGTGGCCTAATGGAGTTGACACGTTTGTGCATTGAGTATTAAAATTTGAAATACTTTTCTTATAAAATAACAAATCAATCATCTAATAGCTTAAAATCGTGGCGAAAATGTCTAAAGGAACACTGACATTGAATTATGTTAAATATAAGCTAAATGTCATTCAATCCATGTTGCTGGTTTAAAAAAAAATATTTCTTTAAATCTACGACTTTTCAATGTATACTAAATTTTTCATTTGGTCAGATATAGAGTTGCTTCTTACAATGGGATAAAATTACGGACGCCCTTTGATTATTTAAATAAATATCTGATAAACATGAGGAGTTTGGTGAACCATTTATTTAAAATCGGGCGAAAAAATATATAAAAGCTATATCGAAATCTAAACCGATTTCATCGAAACTTGTCACGGGTTTTGAGTTCTTTACGCATCATTTACTTAAATCGGGATATGGTAGCTCTATCCAAATTTGAACTGATTTCAGCAACAACTTCCACATGCTAAGTTACATTAACTTCATTACGTTGTGCAAAATTTTGTGTCAATCGGCCTAATGTTGGGTCTATCATTTAACTAAAATCGGACGAAACTATAAATGGGAGCTATATCTAAATTGGAACCGATTCCTACAAAACTTGGCAAACGTTAGGTAATATTAATTTCAGTACGTTGTGCTAAATTTTGTATCAAACGGCCTAACTTTGGGTCTTTTGTGAACCTTTTACTTAAAATCGGACGAAACTATATCTAGGTGCTATATCTAAATCTGAACCGATTTCAACAAAACTTGTCACACTTTATGTTATATTATCTTCCCTACGTTGTACAAAATTTTGTGCCAATCGGACCCACCTGGGGAATTCGGTGCAGAATTTATATCTAATTTCGAGGTACTAAAGTTGTGCAAAATTTTGTGTCAATGTTGTGTAAAATCGGACGAAAAAATATAGGAACTATATCTAAATCTTGACCAATTTTCAGGAAACTTAACACACATCATTTAAGACCTAATTCAGTACAGTATGTCAAACTTCGTGCAAATCGAAAGTTATATCGGGACTTTGGTGTCCCACCTTAGCACACATCATTCTAGACTTTATTCAGTACGCTATGCCAAATTTCGTGCAAATCGAAAGATATATAGGGACTTTGGTGTACTATTTACATTAAATCGGACGAAAATATATACTAGAGCTATATCTGAATCTGAACCGATATTCAGGAAACTTAACACACATCATTATTGACCTAATTCAGTACACTATGCCAAATTTCGTGCAAATTGAAAGATATATAGGGACTTTGGTGTACCATTTACCTCAAATCGGACGAAAATATATATAGGAGCAATATCTAAATTTGAACCAATTTTCAGGAAACTTGACACACGTCATTCTAAACCTCATTCATTACGCTACGCCAAATTTCGTGCAAATCGAAAGATATATAGGGACTTTGATACACCATTTACATAAAATCGGACGCATATATATATGGGAGCTATACCTAAATCTGGACCGATTTTCAGGAAATTTAACGCACATCATTCTAAATCTAATTCATTACGCTGTACCAAATTTCGTGCAAATCGAAAGATATATAGGGGCCGTTTACATTAAATCGGACGAAAATATATATGGGAGCTATATCTAAATCTGAACCGATTTCTCCCAATTTCAATAGGGTTCGTCCTTGAGCCAAATAAGTGCCCTATGCCAAATTTCATTCAATTCGGATTATAAATGCGACCTGTACTTTGTTTACAATTTAACATCGACAGACGGACGGACGGACATGCATAAATCGACTCAGAAAGTGATTCTATGCATATTCTCAAAAGGAAACATGTGTCTATCTCGCTTCCTTTTGCCTGTTACAAACATATGCACAAAGACATAATACCCTGTACCACAGTGTGGTGAAGGGTATAAAAACGTGTAGAGATACGTAAACTCTACAGGCCTGGTAAAAACTGTACACAATGGCACTCAAATTTTGGAGTGCCTAGAACTTTTTCTTTAAATTTTTTAAGTTATAATTCTAATACGAGGACTACTATATATTTCTGTTCTAAAAATGACAATGCGAATATTTCTCAGCATATCGAAGTACTTGTTCGACTTTGATTGACAAACCTCCAACTAGGGTTGTCAAATTCCTATTCAAAAATTGCAAGCCATTACTTTTTGAAAAGCTGTACAAAACAAGAACAATTCGGCATAAAAAACATGCCCTCCACCATAAGGTGGTCTATGTCATTGTAAATATTTGGTAGGAAGGTTTAACACCCATAAGAAAACTAAAATATCAAATATAGGCAATTCAGTTAAAAAACGTACTCAAGCTAACGTTTTTGGGAAGTTATATGGGGTCTACCCCGAATATTTAAGATAATATTGATCGCTACTGCTAAATTGGTTCACATTGCTTAAAATACCGAAATTTGAGAGGTACCATTCATATGTCATTGTCAGGGTGAAAATAGTGTGTAATGTCGCAAAATATTGGCCCTAGACGCACCTTCAAGTATACCTATCGTCATATCTCGACTAACTGGGCCGATCTAGAGATGTGTGTACGTCCGTCTGTCTATTATAATTTGTAAACACGAAATTTTGCATGTAGGATGGTTCTGGCCAAAGAAGACCCCTATTGTTTTTGGTAATGTTCCGTTAATATTTAGGGGATGTATTGGACCAAAATCTTTATTTTGTCTGTTGTTCTGATTGCTCTATCGACCACAATTATAATAAGAATACCACGGAATTTTACACCAGGAAGACATGAAATCAGCATGACTGTTTTCATGAAGATCGGTCAGTATTTAGCAGGTAAAATAGAACCAGGGGTTTGAGTGAAAAATTACCACATTTTTCTTGTGGGCGTATATATTTACACCTGAATGACCCGAAGTTGATAGTTTATCCAAGAGGATATACTATCAATTTATACCACTTATATTGTTGTATGTACTCGGATGCCGGAGGAATACGTAAATATTGAAAGGTATTTATGTTTTATGATATTGTTTAGTATTACTATTACCTCACTAGAAAGCGTGAGTTTCGCGCTGATCACTTTGAAATTTTATATAATTTTCGACGATATTGAGATGATATTTAGGGATCCAATGAAACGAAAACATTTATTTCTCCAGATTTTCCAAACCCCTCTAGAGGTAATTATTATATGCAGAGCATCGCGTATTTTACACCGAGAAGGGAATCTGACCAAATACTTAGAATGGCTGTTTAGATGATGATCGGTCAATATTCCGAGGGTCAAATCAGCCAAAACCTAAAGTGACAACATTTCTATTTTATTGCGTAAATACTCCAAATATTCGGGAAAACCAAATTAGGAAAATATGTCAGGGTTGGAAAGTGGAGCTATTGACCTGATCGGTCAAAAGGGTGGAAATATCGCTATATATAGCCCAAGCTCAGAATATAGAACCGCAAATAGTTAGATTTTCGTGGTAGTTGTGGAGGGTAACATATGGTCGGTACGTCCAACATAGTGCTCCGCTCAATTTTTTTTTTAGAAAATCTATCTTCCAAAAACTATCAATATTGCTAAACATTTCAAAGTAGCCCTCATATAACGGTACCCCCCAAAATTTCAGTTTTATCGTTAATTTAATATTTTGAATTTCCATTTGGTGTCAAATCTCACTACAAAAAATGATAAATGAAGGTTCCCGTTTTGTTAGAGACACTGGTATATTTAGGATTTCACACAATTTCGCATTCTCCTGGGCATCTCGATCGATCTTAGATATTTGGAATATCCAACTCATGGGTGAAGGTATAAATATTTTGGCCCGGCCGCACATATCTTCATTATACGCTTCACCCCACTGTGATACAGGGTATTATGTCTTTGTGCATATGTTTGTAACAGGCAAAAAGGAATCGAGATAGACCCATGGTTCCTTTTGAAAATATGCTTAGAATCACTTTCTAAATCGATTTACGCATGACCGAATCTCTGTCCGTCCATCCATGTTAAATTGTAAACAAAGTATTGGTCGCATTTATTATTCGAATTGGATGAAATTTGGCACAGCTCATTCATTTGGCCCAAGAACGAACCCTATTGCAATTGGGAAAAATCGGTTCAGATTTAGATATAGCTCCCATATATAGATTCGTCCGATTTAAGGTAAATGGTGCACTAAATGGTGCACCAAAGTCCCTATATATCTTTCGATTTGCACGAAATTTGGCATATCGTACTGAATTGAGCCTAGAATGACGTCTGCCAAGTTTCGTGAAAATCGGTCCAGATTTAGATATAGCTCCCATATATAGTTTCGTCCGATTTAATGTAAAGGGTGCACCATAGTCCACATATATCTTTCGATTTGCACGAAATTTGGCATAACGTACTGAATTGAGCCTAGAGTGATGTCTGCCAAGTTTAGAGAAAATCGGTCCAGATTTAGATATAGGTCCCATATATAGTTTCGTCCGATTTCATGTAAATGGTGCACCAAAGTCCCTATATATCTTTCGATTTGCACGAAATTTGGCATATCGTACTGAATTGAGCCTAGAATGACGTCTGCCAAGTTTCGTAAAAATCGGTCCAGATTTAGATATAGCTCCCAAATATATAGTTTCGTCCGATTTCATGTAAATGGTGCACTAAAGTCCCTATATATATTTCGATTTGCACGAAATTTTGCATTTGACTGATAGGAACAAAACGTACTGAAATTAGTATAACCTAACCTGTGACAAGTTTCGTTGAAATCGGTTCTTATTTGGATATAACTTCCATATATATTTTCGCCCGATTTTAAGTAAATTGGACATCAAACTCCTCATGTTAGTCAGATTGACATCAAATTTTTCCCAACGTTCAAAATTGAACATAGAATTACGTGGTTGCGTTTTCTAGAAGTACAGACATAGCCCACTTAAAAAGCGTGTCTGAAATCCTCCAAAGACTGGTTATATGGGGACTACACCAAAACGTGGACCCATATACATACTTCATTCATCTTCTCGTTTGTAAAAAATGTTAACCTTGTATATTGATTATCTTCGGAAGTTAGTGTGATTACAACAGAAAGGAGGACACGATTAAATCGATTCAGAATTTTGCCCTGATCAATAACGTCATCCGATTGGGCTTTGGCCAAGATGATGAATTTCATGGCAAATCGTTATCATCGACGAAGCATATTTTTGGCTGACTCGACCAGGCACATTTTTTAACCGAATTGCCTTAAAATTGATTGTGCAGGTTCTCATGGGGTGTAAAATATTCCTGCATTTGGTTGTAATTGGTATAAAGGGTTCATGAAGGCTGACATATATATTTACAGATACATAATGATTAATATAGATCCATGTTTTCACATAGCCTCCACATAAAGAATCCGAACCATTTCTTTTGCATATATATATATATTTAAAAAAAAATTCTCCACTATCGAAGTGTAATCTATGATCACTGAATATTAACCACTTATCCATCAATAATGTTGACCTATATATTTAAAAAATTATTTCCTCAGTGAACCCACTTTTATAATTATGTTATCGTACAAAGTAGATATTGGAGCCTGCACAAATAATTCTGAAATCCCTTGCTATAAATTTATTCAATTTTCCAAAAACTTTAGGGTAAATATGTATGGTCACACAATAAAAATCACCAAAATGAAAGATCAAACAATTCGTAGAAATTAAGCTATAATACCAAACTATTATTAGATTTTATATCTCAATAATTAAAAAAAACTACTATCAATTAAGCCTAATATTTGTATATCGCAACACATAAAACCTCCTGCACTCGTACTTACCTCCTCCATTATTATAGCATAGATATGGGAAACGCCAAACATTACCCAGACCGACAGAATAGCCCAATAACGATAACAAAAAATCAAATCGTCCCGTCCAATTGCCTCTTTCCGGTTCATTGGTCTCAGTCTGGGCTGTAACATCCAACGTGAGCAGGGCAGCATGTGAGTCGACATCTCGTAGTGTTGCTACTGTCGGAACTGATGTTATGGTAGCGGCTGGCGTTGCTGCTGCGGCCGCAGGCTGTCCTTTAGACGCCACCGTTTGTTTATCCACTTTGGCAGGTTTGGGTGTGGGTGGTGCCGGTATTGGGGCAGGTGCATTATTGTATGGCATTTTTTGGCCCGGAGGCAATTCAATGGAAGAGAAACGATCTTCATTTTCCTGCAACGAAATGCGAAAACAAAAGAAAACAAATCATCATCATCGGCATCAGCATGATTGCAGTCAATTTGAATGAAATCCAAAATCAAAACAAATTATTTGAAAATTTCCGCTTGGTCTAATCAAAATAATAAACAACTCAAAAAAGAACGAAAATATTGAATGGTCGATAAAAATAGATGTGAGTGTTGAATGTTATGAGGAAGTTGAGCGAAAAATAATTTGATTTTTCATTCAGAACTTTTGAACAGGTAAATTAATTTTTATTTTAATGGATGGTGATTAATGGGGTAATTTGTGGAAAATAATGAAAGACTTCGTGTGTGCATATCTTGGCATACCATATGAAGTAATTTGTGAGGAAAGACCAAAGTCAGACAGGCCCGACTATATGATGCTCTACACCACTTAACTTTCAAGTGGTGCTATAAGAATCATATTGTTTTTGACGCCTATGCAAAATGTCGACAGTAGCCGGTGCAAGATTTCCTGACTATTGAAAAAAAAAACATTGTGCCTCTGAGAGCTATTTTTATGAAATCGAAGTCCGATATCTAAATCTGAACCGATTTTGAGTTCATTTTTGACCTGGGCAAAATTTTACTTCAATCGGATTACCGAAGTTATGGGATGCACACCCAATATCAAGAAATTTTTCATGGGATATATATCTTAATATAAAATCTAACTTGTCAACCGCACAAACTATTAACAAGAGATCGGTCGAAAATATATATGGGCGTATTACAAAAAATCGGCTATGCTATAAAACACACCTCGGGTCACAGTTTTGTTACAAAGACTTTCTTAAATTCAGACCATCTATGAAGACCACCACCTCAGAACGTCAATAAAGACTCCCTGAGATTTATCACGCTGTAAAGACCCCTATGTTTCAAATCATCTATGAACGACACCCTGGCCTTCCTACTTCCTACAGCTCGTCTGTAAAGACACCTCGTCTTTAAAATGTCCCCTCGGTTGGTCTATATATACGCCCAACACTTCAGCTAGGCTCTAAAGACTTATATGAAGCCTCCTTCCCCTTCGTATTGTCTTTAAAATGTTTCCTCAGCTATATAAGGACGCCCCGCCCTTCAGCTTGGCTATAAAGACTTTCTCAAAGAATCCCTTGCCTTCAGTTCGATTAAAATGTCTCGTATATGAACGACTCCCTGAGCTTCGTACTTCCTTCAGGTCGTCTGTTAGGACTCCTCGTCTTTAAAATTTCCCCTCTTTAAATACTCCTTGCTCTTTATATCGTCCTAATAATTTACCCTCAGCTCTATAAGGACACTCTGCTCTTCAGCTAGGCTAAAAAGACTTCCTTAAAGACTCCCTAGCCTTCAGTTCGTTTAAAATGTATCTTAGCTTCAGCCCGTCTGTACAGACTCCCAGAGATTTGTCACGCTGTAAAGACTTCTGTTCTATATAGACACCCTACCCTTCAACTAGGCTCTAAAGATTTCTTTGAAGACTCCTTGCCCTTCGTATCGTCTTTAAAAAATTTCCTCGGCTATACAAGGACGACCTGCCCTTCTGCTGGCTATAAATGTACAGACTCCCAGAGATTTGTCACGCTGTAAAGACTTCTGTTCTATATAGACACCCTACCCTTCAACTAGGCTCTAAAGATTTCTTTGAAGACTCCTTGCCCTTCGTATCGTCTTTAAAAAAATTCCTCGGCTATACAAGCCGACACCCTACCCTTCAACTAGGCTCTAAAGATTTCTTTGAAGACTCCTTGCCCTTCGTATCGTCTTTAAAAAAATTCCTCGGCTATACAAGGACGACCTGCCCTTCTGCTGGCTATAAATACTACACTTGGCTTCACTTCGATTAAAATGGCTCTTAGCTTCAGCCCGTCTGTAAAGACTCCCCGAGCTTTAGAACGTCTATAAAGATTTCCTGAGTTTTAGCTCGGTATGAAGGACTTCCTGCGCTTTATAATTTCTTCAGCTCGTCGAGAAGTACTCCTCGTCTTTAAATAAATACATCCTGGCCTTCAGCTAGGCTATAAAGGCTGATTTAAAGATTTCCTGGCCTTCTTAGCTTCGACCCGTCCTAAAAGACTCCCTGAGCTATAGAACGTCTATAAAGATTCCCTGAGCTTCAGCTCGGTATGAAAGACTCCCTGAGCTTCATACGTTCTTCAGCTCATCGGAAATTTGCCTCGTTTTCAAAATGTTCCTTCGACGCGTCATTAAATACACCCTGCCTTTCAGATAACCTATAAAGGCTTCTCTAAAGATTCCATGGACTTCATATCGTCTTTAAAATTTTCCATCAGCTCTATAAGGACGCCCTGCTGTTCAGTTCGCTATAAAAACTCCATAGTCGTCTATAAAGATTCCTGTATATACTCTCTGAGCTTCAGCCCGGTATGAAAAACTCTCTAAGCTTCATATTCCCTTCAGTTCGTCTATAAAGACTGCGTATCACGCAGTTATCCTTCTGTAAGGATTGTCTTACCTTCAGCTCTTCTTTTAAAGACTTCCTGGGCGTCAGCTCTTCTATGGAAGGCTCTCATATAAAAAATCACTGAGCTTCAGGTCACTTATTAAGGATCGCCGTGCTAATAAACCCAATGGCATCCAGTTTTCAGCTCTTTAATAAATCCAAGGATTACCTCCATTGCCTTCTTCTTTTAAAGAATTCCTGGGCGTCAGCTCTTCTATGGAAGGCTCTCATATAAAATATCACTGAGTCATTTATTAAGAATCCCTGGGCTTCAGATCCCTATTAAGACACCCTATCTTCAGCTCTCCTATAAAAATCCATGAATCAGCTATTAGTATAGAGACCCCCCGGCTTCAGTCATCGAATAACAAATCCAATCCAAATCCGTCTTCTATACCCCTCCTCCATATTTCTTGTGACCACATATGACTAATATCAAATCCCATTAAATAAAATCACCAAACAATTTTCCTAATATATCATGGGGTTTCCCCACATCCTCCTCCTCCATAAAATATCTGTCAAGAACATATTTGATGATTTACGTCGATAGACAGGCAAATATATGAGATCAGCCCGGCTGATGTTATTAATGATTAAAATATGCCAATAAGTCATTTCCGAAATTTACATATTTTTCACATTATCCACTTATACACACATATAGTATATATGACCTTACGATTAGTATGAACAGAAGAAGAAGAAACAGAAAAAATAAAATAGTTTATTTTAACTATCTAACAATTGGATTTATTAAGATATCTGGCAATCTACTGGCTTACTTTATACACAAAACATGCTAGCTAACATGAACCAAATAAAATTAACGAACAGAAAAAATATACGAAACGAAAATTTTGTCCAGCCATAGATTCCAGCTATCAAATGTTTAAATTGGCTCTTAGCCAAATTGTTGTTGACGTGGTTGATATTTCATTTCGGAAGAAAAAAAAAAAACAACGAACTTAGCCAACAAATAAAAAACAATATTTTTTAGTTGAGATGGCCTCATCCTCCTACCAAACTGAGGTACAAGGAAACTATTACATCTATACTTTGTATTATATTTAGTCCCGACGCCCCTCCTCCTCATCATCGCTGTCCCCATCGCCCAGCCATTTACAATCCTCGCTCACAAAAAGGCACAAAGGCCATTCATTCATTCATACACAAATACATGTTCGGAAAATAATGGAAAACACATCAACATAAGTATCCATGTGTTTGTATTTGGCTGTGTGTGTGTTTGTCTACTAAAATATTTGCTCATACAACAGTTGCTGCTGCTCATCGCTGTTGCTGCTGCTGCCGCTTCTGCTGTGGTCATGAAAATGTTGTCGTATAGTAGAATATGAGTACAACCAAATGTTCCAACCATCATGTCTTTTCATTTATTATAACACCCATTTGGCCATCCCACTTCTCCACCTCTTCGCCTTCCTTCCCCTTGTTTTTTGTTGTTGTCCCCTTCAACTAGCCGAGAAAATAAACTAACAAAACACAAAAAAAGTGTCAACGTCAATTGTTGGCAATTTCCAAATAAATTTTAGCCTCTCGTACAAGGTTACTCAAGTTCCATGACAGATTTGCGACATCTGCTTGTAGGACAGTATATTCGTAGTTGTTTTTTTGTTACATTTTGGGGGTTGGATGCAACTTGTAAATGAACATTAGGGTGTAATGAAAAAGATTCTCTTTTATACTATTCTTTGAGGCTTTGAAAGAATACTTTATTAAAGTCCGCGCGTTTGAAAGTTAGGCTTAAAAAATCCAAGCCGATAATAAATAAAAATATTAAAAAAAAACAAGCCTATAAATGGACATTGATAACATATTTATTTTTATAAATATAGGGCCTAACAATATTTTCAAAAAAAAAAACACGCTTATTCAAAAATGTTTTGTTTTTTAAATATTCAAATCTTTCGATAGCCTTTGAAAAACTATGTTTTAAAAAATCGATGTCTATTGACAGGCCTTGGGCAAAACTTTTTAAAAAATCCACGCCTATGTATAGATTTAAAAAAAATATTTTAGAAAATATAAGCCCATATATAGGCGTTCGAAAAATTTCAAAAAATGCAGGCTTTGAAAAAAATATGCAAAACGCCTATGTATAGGCTTTGAAAAATATTTGCAAAATCTACCTCTATGGACAGGCCTATGGATAGACTTTAAAATATATTTTGAAACATGTAAGGAAAGTAGTAATGTCGGACTGGGCCGACTATATGATACCCCTCACCACTCAGGGTATATTGTACATATGTATGTATCCTTACAATTGCATGTAATTGTTCCCTTACAGGAACATACACATGCCTTTCTGCAACCTATGCAAAATTTAATTTCATTCGGGCAGATTTAGAGTCGTCTGTGTACCACGGGACAAATTTATGGAAAACGATTTATAGCTAAATTGATACAGGCTATTCGGTACGCCGCACTGAATACATATTGAAGCTATAGCTGCTTTTGCACCAATTTCAACAAAATCCAATAAAGTCATTCAAGTCTCAATTTGATACGTTGTGCAAAACGTCGTGTTAATCGGACAAACATTAGGAGCTTGGTGCACCATTTATGTAAAATCGAAATTTGGTGTACCATTTATATTAAATCGGACGAAAATACATATGGAAGCTATATCTAAATCTGACACACATCGTTCTATTTTTATTTCAGAACGCTTTGCCAAATTTCGAAGGATTTATAGGGACTTTGGTGCACTATTTAACAAAATCGGACGAAAATATATATGGGAGCTATATCTAAATCTGAACCCGTTTCCACGAATCTTAGCACACATCATTCTATACTCAATTCAGTATGCTATGCTAAATTTCGTGCAAATTGAAGGATATATAGGGACTTTGGTGCTCCATTTACATTAAATCGGACGAAAATATATATGGGAGCTTTATCTAAATCTGAACCGATTTTCTCGAAATTTAACACACATCGTTCAAGACTTATTTCAGTACGCTATGCCAAATTTCGTGCAAATCGAAGGATATGTAGAGACTTTGGTGCACTATTTACCTAAAATCGGACGAATATATATATGGAAGCTATATCTAAATCTAAACCGATTTTTACGGAACTTAGCACACATAATTCTGGACCTAATTCAGTACGCTATGCCAAATTTAGTTAGATATATAGGGGCTTTGGTGCATCATTTACATAAAATCGGACGAAAATATATATATGAGAAATATCTAAATCTGAACCGATTTTCATGGAACTTAGTACCCATCATTCTACACTCAATTCAGTACGCTATCCCAAATAGGGACTTTGGTGCACCATTTTCATTAAATCGGACGAAAATATATATGGGATCTATATTTAAATCTGAACCGATTTCCTCGAAATTTAACACACATCGTTCAAGATTTATTTCAGTACGCTATGCCAAATTTCGTGCAAATCGAAGGATATGTAGGGACTTTGGTGCACTATTTACCTAAAATCGGACGAAAATATATATGGATGCTATATCTAAATCGGAACCGATTTTTACGAAACATAGCACACATCATTTGAGGCTCAATTCAGTACGCTATGCCAAATTTTGTGCAAATAGAAAGATATTTAGGGACTTTGGTGCACCATTTACCTTAAATCGGGCGAACATATATATGGGAGCTGTATCCAAATCTGAACCGAGTTTTCGCAATTTCAATAGGGTTCCTCCTTGGGCCAAATAAATGAGCTGTGCCAAATTTCATCCAATTCTAATCGTAAATGCGACATGTACTTTGTTTACAATTTAAAATGGACAGACGGACGAACATGCATAAATCGACTTAGAAACTGATTCTATGCACATTCTCAAAAGAAACCATGTGTCGATCTCGTATCCTTTTGCCTGTTACAAACATATGCACAAAGACATAATACCCTGTACCACAGTGTGGTGAAGGGTATAAAAATAATAAATAGGCGTGAAGTTTTTAAAAATATTAAAAAACCGACGCATATAAATAGGCCTCGAAAATATATTTTTAAAAAAAATCTACGCCTATAAATAGGCTATGAAAAAATATTTCTTTATAGGTTCAAATCTTTCGATATGCGTCCATTCTCCAGCTCGACAAAATAAATTCATACAGATCTTCATTAAAAACGGCAATAAAAACTCTGGGTCTTTCTCGTTTATAAAGATTCCCCGAACTTCAGTTGCCAGCAAAGACTCCCAGAACTTCAACTCGTCTATAAAGATTCCCAGCGCTTCAGCTGGCCTATAAAGACTCCCTGAGCTTCAGTTCGTCTATGAAAGACTCCCGTAGCTTCAGCTAGCCTATAAAGACTCCCTGAGCTTCAGCTAGCCTATAAAGATTCCCTCAGCTTCAGCTAGCCTATAAAGATTCCCTCAGCTTCAGCTCGCCTACAAAGACTCCCTGAGCTCCAGCCAGCCTATAAAGATTCCCTGAGCTTTAGCTCGCCTATAAAGACTCCGTGTACTCCAGCTCGTCTATCAACGATTCTCCGACTTTTAGCTCATCTATGAAAGGCTCCCTGAGTTTCAGCTCGTCTATGAAAGACTACCTGAGGTTCAGTTCGTCTATGAAAGACTCCCTGGGCTTTCTGCTCGCCTTTTAGCTTGTCTATGAAGGATTCCCTAAGCTTTAATAAGACTCTCTAAGCATCAGTTCGTATATAAGACTCACTCAGCTTCAGCTCGTCTATAAAGACCACTGAGATTCAACTCGCCTTTAAAGACTCCCTGAGCCTTAAATAGCCTATAAAGACTCCCTGAGCCTTAACTTGCCTATAAAGACTGCCTGGGCTTCAGCTCTTCTATACAGACTCCCTGAGCCCCAGCTGGCCTATAAAGACTTCCTGACTATAAAAGACTCACTGAGATTCAACTCGCCTTTAAAGACTCCCTGAGCCTTAAGTCGCCTATAAAGACTCCCTGAGCCTTAACTTGCCTATAAAGACTGCCTGGGCTTCAGCTCTTCTATACAGACTCCCTGAGCCCCAGCTGTCCTATAAAGACTTCCTGAACAGCTAGCTGTAAATACCAACTGACTTTCGACTTGTCTAAAAACACTCAATTCATTTCCAGGACTCTCTGAGCTCCAGATAGCCTATGAATACCACAATCTCACATAGTTTTGATGAAAAAATTTCCAATGAATTGTTTTAATCTTTAATTTTATATCGATTTCTCTTTTCCAAAAATATCAATATTTTCATTTATTTTTGTTTTGCAACTTACCTCCCATAAATCGACATCCAGACAGGTACTGGATTCTTTGTTCGGCTTAAGTTTTTTCTGTTTCGTTTTTGATTTCGATTTGGATGAACCGGAAGAGCCCTTCTTGTCCATGATGATGCTGGGGACGATGCGATAACGTTGTTGGCAATGGATTGGATATTTTGTGCACTTTTATTGTTATTTTTAGTTTTATATAGATTTGTTATATAGATAAGTTAAAAAATATTAACAATAACTTGTGGGAAAATTTTTTTGAAATGTTTTTTTTTTTTTATTAAAAGTCGTTTTCAGGATGCATTTAATATTTCACTGTATTTATTTTTAATTGTTGTTGTTATTTTGTAATTCATTGGAATTTATTCGAGTGTTCAAGTCCTTGAAAATATTTTTTTTTTTTGCACCAGGAAAAAAGGATATATTTTTAATTGTTATTGTTGTAATGGTTTTTTGTTGTTCGCGTAGAATTGAAATTGTCTTTGTGTTACATGGAAATTGTTAGTATTGACTGAAGAAGCGAGCGGTGGCGTTAGGCATCATCAACTCTGAGGTAGTTGCAGACATCATTTGCATCGACATATCATCATCAGCAGCATGCAGCATTGTCAGCGTTATTGACAGCGTTGTCATCGTTCGACTTTGTTTTTTGATCATTGACATTGTCAGCTATGTGAAGGCTTGTGAACTGACAACAACTGCACTCACACAAATGAATTCATTGGCATTTCAATGCCACAGACACACCGACGAAATATCCCCCAATCGAGAGAGAAATGAATGGAAGAAAGCGTTTGTTTGTTTGTTGTTGTCGTTTTTTTATTTTTGCTGTGGTTGTTGTTTCAATATCAAACCCCTTGTTCGGCATTTAATCTAAAAGGAGAAAAAGATGTAAAAAAGTTAAAAAAGAACCTTTATTGCAAAAAAGCGGTCATACAACAAGACAAGAACATAAAAAACTCAAAATGAACAACAATAAAGGAACAACAAAAAACTTTGTTGTTTGACAAAAAAAAGTTCTCCTCTGTTTGAATATGTGTATATGGGAAAGTCGCAACGGGGGTATGGGTGTATGTGTTGCTGTGCAAGTTTGTTGAAGTTTTCTTTTTTAATTGAATTTGATGAAAATAATGATTAACACATGTTGGCAATTCCATTAGTTCATCAATGTTTGATTTGTCAGAATTTGTGTTTTTTCTTCTTTTTTTGTACAATGTTGAATAATGAATTAGAGTTTTTTTCGCAAAGTGACAAAAGATGTTGGCGTATATTAGGGTGGGTATTTGAAAATATTTGAAATCTTAAAGAAATTAGATATTTAATTTAATTATATATTTGTCCAATAGAGGAAAAACAAATACAGATTACCTAAGATTCAGCACCCCTTCATGTGAACACTCCCTGAGCTACCTTGTTTATAAGCACCCCCTCAGTTGGTCTACAAAAACTATTTGAATTCTAACTCGCCTAAAAAAGGCGTCTACAAAAACTCTTTCAATTCTAACTCGCCTAAAAAAGGCGTTGGTCTTCAGATCGTCTATATAGACTTATAGTGTAGCATTATAAATGGAATAGAGTTTTTAAGTGTTAAAGTGAATTTTCGTCCCGAAAATTCAATATTTCGAATATGAAAATAAATTTAAAACCTCCAAAGGCATATTGATATTTTCTGAATGGAAGGAAAAGGATAAATAATAGATCAAGGAGAAATCTGCTAGTTTCAATTGAATTAAAGATGACATATACAAAAATTAAATTGTCAAAAAATATTATATGTCAAACATTTATACCCTTCACCACACTGTGGTACAGGGTATTATGTCTTTGTGCATATGTTTGTAACAGGCAAAAGGAAACGAGATAGACACATGGTTCCTTTTGAGAATATGCATAGAATCACTTTCTAAGCCGATTTATGCATGTCCGTCCGTCTGTCTGTCTGTCCATGTTAAATTGTAAACAAAGTACAGGTCGCATTTATGATCCGAATTGGATGAAATTTGGCATAGGTCACTTATTCGGCCCAAGGACGAACCCTATTGAAATTGGGAAAAATCGGTTCAGATTTAGATATAGCTCCCATATATATATATTTAACCGATTTAATGTAAACGGTCCCTATATATCTTTCGATTTGCACGAAATTTGGTACAGCCTAATCATTTTGGTCTAGAATTATGTCTGCCAAGTTTCGTGAAAATCGGTCCAGATTTAGATATAGCTCCCATATATAGTTTCGTCCGATTTCATGTAAATGGTGTCCCAATATCCCTATATATCTTTTGATTTGCACGAAATTTGGTATAACGTGCTGAATTAAGCCTAGAGTGATGTCTGCCAAGTTTGGAGAAAATCGGTCCAGATTTAAATATAGCTCCCATATATAGTTTCGTCCGATTTGATGTAAATGGTGCACCAAAGTCGCTAAATATCTTTCGATTAGCACGAATTTTGGCATAACGTACTGAATTGAGTCTAGAATGATGTCTGCCAAGCTCCCATATATAGTTTCGTCCGATTTCATGTAAATGGTGCACCAAAGTCCCTATATATCCTTAGATTTGCACCAAATTTGGCATAACGTACTTAATTGAGCCTAGAATGATGTCTGCCAAGTTTCGTGAAAATCGGTCCAGATTTAGATATAGCTCCCTTTTATTATAGATTGATTTTAAGTAATTGACGTACTAAGGAACCAATAGGAACAAAACGATCTGAAATTAGTATAACCTAACCTGTGACAAGTTTGTTCGAAATCGCTCAATATTTGGATAGAGCTTCCATACATATTTTCACCCGATTTCAAGTAAATTGGGCATCAAACTCCTCATGTTAGTCAGATTGACATCAAATTTTGCACAACGTACAAAATTGAGCATAGAATTACGTAGTTGCGTTTTCAGAAGTACAGACATAGCCCAACGGATGACCTATTTATATTTGTTTGAAGTCGATTGACATACTTTATGGATAGATCTAAATAGATTCACATTTAGATAAATATCACATTTTTTTCATCCAATTTTATGTTATAGTCCTGTTTAATATACCCATAGTGGTGAAGGGTATCATATAGTCGGCCCCGTCCGACTTTACCACTTTCCTTACTGGTTTATTACATGGATACTAAAAATTCTTTCAATTTTATTTTATTCATTTGGAGGTCATATCTTCATCGGATAAAGGGTATTTACTGTATCATTTCATCAAGTCTGTAAAGACTCCTTCAACTTCTTCTCGTCTATAAAGACTTCCTGAAGTTCAGTTTGTTGTTCCTTCAGTATACTGTCAATATAGGTCCACACATTTAAAATGTTCAGTATTTCAAGTTCCTTGAGGATACCGTCACAATAGTCGCCAAAATAAAATTTGAGTGATTTTAAATCATCCTCATCGGTGAAGGACACTATTACCCTGAAGAAAAGAGTCAATCGAACATGCCAAACAACAGCTCCCGACTTTTATATACAAACCACGACACAAATCACATCCAGAATTCAAAATTGTCAGTGACCCAAATCAGTAGTGATTAAAATCACTCACGAAGCAAATTTCCGTTATAGTTTCCTTATAAAAACCATTTTTAGTACCTTGAAGACCAGCATTTGTAAAAAGAACTGCATTTAATTTATCATGTTGGTCTTCTATATAAAGAAGTCAGTAAAAAGGTTGGCTATCTTTAGAAAACTGTAAAATGACCCGAATCCACGGTCTTCAGCTCCTTCTTAAGGTGCCATCTTAAGATTCCTTGCTGCCAAAGTCTTCCTGAGCTTCAGATCGTCTTATGTTCGAGTCTTATGTTCGTCTTAAAAGACGCACTGTTCTTTTGTTCAACTAAAAATAAACCTCTTTGAACTTCAGCTCGTCTATTGAAGTTTCATTGTTTATAAGTACTCTCTCAGATTATGCTCAACTACGGAAGAACCCTGGCCTTCCCCTCGTCTATATAGGCGCGATGAATTCATTTAAGATTCCGTTATCACAATGTAGGCCCAATAGGTCTTCTTCATATATCGTTACGGTGTGTATCTACAATGCGATCGATTGACACATCCCTAAATGTAGATACATTTTTGGGAGGGTATATGAACCTTTGGTTCGGCCGATATAGTTGGTTCTTGAACCTGAGAACCGACCGAATTGCAGCGAATTCGGTTGAAAAACTTTTAAAATATTGAAATGTTGAAGGTACCGTTACAAGGAGGATACCCGCTCAAAAACCCCAAAAAAAACCGAAAAATCGGAGTACCGTTGAATGGGACTATCCGAAAAAGTGGACCCATATTAATAAGTTTTAGTGAAGAGATTTGGTACTCAATAAAAACTCAAAGTGCCTAATTACTTCGATTTTTGGAAAGCGCTCAAGAAACCCACAATGTAGCGCTTAAGAACCACAAACTACGGAAACTACCTTATATCGGAGCTATGGGTTGACGTAGATCGATGTAGCCCATCTTCGAACTTGACCTGCCTGCAGACAAAAGGCAACCCTATGCAAAATTTCAGCAATCCAAAAAGTTGTATATGTTCGGCATCCAGGTATCTCACCCACCTAGCTCCAGCTTCCTCTGGTAGGCGATGGGTTTAACAGCAGCATCGATTGGGATGTCGATCGACTGTGAGCCACCTAGAGCAAGCTCGTCAGCTATTTCATTCCCTTTTACATCGCCTATAAGGCTATAAGTCGGTGCCTGTACAATGCGGTTATTTTAACCTTATTGCACTTGTGACAACTTGAGAATGGATCAATAAATCAAGGATACATTGAATGGTGATCAATGATTGTTCTCAATTATTTAGCTTCCAGAGAGAGTTTCAGAGCTACTGTATTCAATATTGGTAGAGGGAACATTGGAATCATTCGCTTCTTAGTGAACAAAACTAATTCTGTCTATATGGGGTTTATCCCAATCCTTGTTTTTGGTGCCACTTTAACAGAAGCTATAGTCTACCTTGCATTATATCTGAGAAAGAGGCTAGAAATTATCCAACACGACCACACCATAAGGATAGGCCACAACCATAATTCGAAGTAGGTTAAATTCCACGAGAATTCAATTCATCACAAATTTCCGCATAGAACTATCCCCAATGTTTGCATTGATTTTTCCAGCATTGCATCAGTGCAAT